TGCCATGGAGACGTCCTTGATCGGGTCCTAAAGTAAGGTTTGAGAACAGAGATTTCATGATAGCCAGGTAGGCTGCCTGGATGTTGTTACTGAGTATTCCTGCTTGGGTCCATAATGATGATCTCTTGACTGCTGACCACACTGGTCTCAGCTCTTGTGCTCTCCCCGGCAGAAGCAGCAATTGATCTCCCTGTGAAAAATACATGACAATGATCAGTTGCGGTCAGACTTGAGGTTAAGTAAGACCCAAGATGATGTCCTTTACTGTTTAGATATGTCCAGATTTTCAGATTTTCATACCAAAAACTATGCTGTTCCCGTAAAAGACACTATTTAGCTTATTGTATTCATCTTTATTAAAAACAAGGGAAACAGACATCAAACAAACACCCTATTGGTCGTGTTTATATCATCAAAGTGAATACTGTACTACTCACTCTTTCTGAAGCACTTAGGTTGACAGTTATTTTCAAGAGAGGGCTGGCACACAGCTAGGTTGCAGTGGATGTATATCTGGTAAAAAACAAATGTATTACTTGCAGATATGTAGATAAGGTGATATTAAAAATAATGTAAAAACAAAACAAAACCTTTCTTTCTGAGATAGTTGGATCCTATACCTTTTCCTGGAGAGGAGTAAAAGCATCTGGATCTGCAGCTCCTCCTTTTTCGAAATTGGTAGCTCCAGTAGCTACAAATGTGAACATCTTGACAATAAAACGGCTGTGGTGGGATGGGTACAAGAGACCTGGTGAGGCACGCACAGGGACCAATGTGGTAAGGTAACGATCATCACGGTTGGGGCAGCTATGACACGAGGAAAGAGTGAGGAAAAGGAGACTGAGCATCACAAAATGTATTAGAAATGCTTATCTCCAAGTCAAACCAACACTTACCCATCAATCAACAAGTCCCACTGAGGAAGACTGTGAGGGTAGGGGCTAGTTGTTGCCCAGCATCTTCCAAGAGTCAAGACAAGGTTGGGATCAGTCCTCTCCAGCATTCGGACATCAACGTACACGGGATCCCTGAGTACCTTTGTGACGGGGTAGTCGGCATCCGTGTAAAACGAGTTGTAGGCCACCTCCTCTGCTCAAGCAAAAAGATTAGTTGGTGACATAGTTTATTTTTTTTCAACAATATTTTATTGAACTTTTAAATATATTTCACTTATTCAGATACACAACAATCAAAACTATAACATCCATAAAATAAACAGTCACAATTTCCACAAGACATTCACATACTTCACACATTTAACAAATTAAATCAATTTCAGATACTTAAAAAAATGTTATAGTTGGTGACATAGTTACTGCCAAATGAGACTAATGGCACAAAATTTCTCCTTCACACTAACCTTCCACACAACCCTTGGAAATACACTGTCCGTTGCCCAGTCTGAGCTCCACACGCAGGGGTCCAGGAGCTGCAACTGGGGGTGGTGGAGGAACCAGGCCAACCTCAATGACTAGAGCCTCAACTGTGGTACCAATATATCTACACTGAACAAGTAGCCTGAGAGAAGAAATGTCATAAAACCATTTGAGTGAAATTTGTCTTGTAAAATATCACAATGTTAATTTAAGGTTATTAAATATTTTTGAAACAACTGAATTGTTTGAATACTTTAAGCAAACAAAAAACACATACTCATAGCTGCTGTCCCTGGTAATGGCTCCAAAGGCTCCAATAGCGACTTCATAAAAGGAGGACATCCTGTTCTCATAGATTATAACACCAGGTTCCTCCTACAGTAAGTTGGCAGTATTTCAATCTTTGTTACTACCTGACAAAAACACAATACAAATCAAATCGAACAGTCAAGAGTCGCAACGCTTACCATCATGACAGTGCCGCAGGCAGTGACGGGGAACTGGTAGATGGCAAAGGCTGATGTGGTGCCAACAGGACCGCAATTTTGATCATCTCCAAGGAAAGAAATTGTCTCCAAGTCGATGTTGGGTAGAGTGACATCTTTGGCTACCACCACGATTAACTGGGCGTCCTTGGTGCACTGAAGAGTCACTGAGAACAACAAATTATAAAGGACCTTAAGAGTCAGAGTAGGATATCAATGTATTTCTGTGAGGAATCAAGAAATACTGACCGGATTTTCCATAATAGCATGTGCGTCCATCAAAGCAGCAATTTATAGCTTCACAATCTGAAGCAGAGATGCTAGGAGCCCCACATGTTATCTTGTACTGCTCAGCTACTTCACAAGTGTTAAATACTTCTTTAGGTTGCTGACTTTGCTGAGGCTGCTGGGGCGGCTGAGGTGGCTGTGG